TTTTTTAAAATTCATCTGATATATATATATATTCTGTTTTCCTTTGTTTTTTGAAAAATGGTTGATCTTTTAGCTTAATTTTTATTGGTCTAGATTTTGCTCGAACCAATGCATGCAACAACATTGGTAGGTGCCAATTAGGGCTTCTTGAGTATTGCCTAGATCTGTTTTTCGTGTTTTGGATGATATTTGGACTCCTACACTTGGTTCTGTTCTGTTTTTTTTTTTTTTTTTGGGTGCTGTTTTTCAGTAAGTTTCTTTAGTTGCAAGCCTATTCATGGTGTTTATGATTCAATAAGCTTTTTTTGTTCATTACGTCTGCGTTTGTGAACATTCCTTGAGGTTTGTTTGTTTTATGAGTGCTTTTGGATCAGTTGGGTAGTAGTCTGTTGTTATTCTGTGGACACGGCAGAAGGTTGTAAGGTCCCCAAGGGTAGTGAGGAGAGTGGGTTCAGCTGTGTTGCGACTCTTGGTTAGAGTCTGTCTCTTCAAAACAAGTGTGGGTAAATTTGCAAAGCCCTAGTCGGCACTTAGATGAGGGATTCCAAGCATTGGTTCGACCAAAACTAGTCTTATCATAGATTCAAAACATATACCCATTGTTTTTGGGGGAAAAAAAAAAAAATCAGGAAAATGTATTAAATGAAAAAGAAAAAATTTCGAAAAATTACTAGTTTGAGATCTCTTTTCCAACAATACAAATAGAGAGGAGCTCTAATACCAAGTTAAAAGTCATATATAGTAAGAGAGAAGGATGGGAGGGAAAAAAAATAGAATAGAGAATTCCCAAAAAATTAGGGAGAATTCCCAAAAAATTAGGGTTCACTCCCATAATCACTTTATTTATATTAAAAAGGTCCAAAATACATAATTACCCCTAAACACAAAACACTTAATAGTTTGTGATGCTTGTGAGCTTGCTAAGCATAAACATTCTTATTATCATTCGGTTAATAAAAATGAAGTCCTTTTCATTTATGCTTATTCATACTAATGTGCGGGACCCTTCTCCTGTTATTTCTCTTTCTGGTTATCGTTGGTTTGTTACCTCTATTGATTGTTATTCTACTGTTATTTGGGTTTATTTATTTCGTGCTAAAACTGAGGTATTTTTTTTCTTGCTTTACAACTTTTTATAAAATGGAGTTAAACTCTCGAACCGACTGGGGTTGCTAAATGGAAAAAAGGCCATCTTCTTGAGGTTGCTCAAATGTTCCTATGCCTTTTTGGGGAGATGTTCTTAGTGCACGTTATCTCATTAACAATATGCCCTCTAGAGTTCTTTAGTTTATAATTCTTCTTGAGTTTCCTCTCCTGACTTGTACGAATCCTATTCCTCCCATGGTTTTTGGGTGTATTTGTTTTGTCCATATTCAGTAAACATGTTTATGGAAAACTTGACTCTTAAGGCTTTTTGAAGTATGTCTCTTTATTGGGTATTCTGCTTCTCAAATGGGATGAGTGCTATGATCGTCAATATCGCAAAGCGTATGTTAGTATGGATGCCACATTTTGTGAATTTGAACCCGTATTTCTTTTATCTCAATGATTTCTTCATGGGGAGTCATACAAAGGGTGAGATGTCATTCGTTTGTATCCTACTTGGAGGGCTGTTATTTGCGTGGACTGGGAAGAAGTGATGTGTTGAAGGGAGCTTCAGCCTAACTTTGGTAAACAATTGGATTTTGGATCTCAAAACCTATTACCAATGTTAGAAAGAGCAACCTCTAATGTGTCACCAAGCTAATTGTCATCCTCGATACTAGTTTCACCAGTTTTAGATCCTCTCACTGACTCTTCTACTAATGAATCTCCTATTATTACTTATGTTAGAGATGATCGAGGTGATGGTGATTCTGACCTTCCTATTGCTCTTACAACGGAAGCTAGGATTTGTACTCAACACCCTATATCTAAATTTGTTTCCTATGATTTATTGTCGCCTTGATATCGTGCATGAGTTTCGTCTCTATTCTCCCGTGTGTAGTCCACAAGGTTGGAAAGAAGTTGTCAATTATCTTAAATGGAAACAGGCTATAGTAGAGGAGATGAAAGATTTGAGCAATAATGACACCTAGGAGTTGGTTTCTCTTCCTGATGGAAAAAGACTAGTAGGCAATAAGGTGGTGTTTACCATCAAACAAAAGGGGGGAAATTGAGAGATACAAGGTAAGGCTTGTTGCTAAAGGGTTTATTCAGACCAATGCCATTGACTAGTAGGAGTCATTTAGATTGGCCACTACCTATGAAGTACGAGAGTACTTCAAAAATAATGTTGTACTGGGTATTTACTAAGTCCTGGTACATGTACCAATAGGGCTACATGTGTACCACCAGGTACTTGAAATACGTACTGAGTACAATTTATACGTTCTTTGGCAGTTGGGTACATGATGGGTATCGGAGGTACACGAAGCTATTAGACATTGGTGGAGATACGTTTAATTTATTAGAGAGTTTTGATTTACTTGAACGTGCAAATCTGTTGCTTGATGTGCTAGAGATGAAATATGTATTATTCAATATGAAGCTGATGGAAGTGAAAATTGAAATTTCAAGTTTTCCAATTTTGCTTAGCTTGCTTTTGGAATGAAAATTTATTTTGTAATTTGTCCTATTTAATGGCATTGAAATACCTTATGGAATTTGCTTTGGTATTGATATTGTTGAACTATGATTTCTTCTTTGGTTTTGTAATTTTTCCTTTTAGTTTTGGTATTGAACTTTAATTTGTAGATTAAATCTCAGAACTATAAAATATATAAAAATAAAAAATTTATTGACGTAGCTCCAGTCGTACTCGTACCCTATGTTTTTAGGCCTTATCTATTGGCGTATCTGTACCAGTATCTCTACCCAGACCCATGCCTCATAGGCCACTACAATAACTAGGTGTCAAGACTATGCCTTCAGGATTCACATCTCTGTCCATTGCTGGAAATGCTTGTAGGTTGAAAAAGGCTCTTTATGGGTTAAAACTGTCTCCCAGAATTTGGTTTGACAGATTTCTTAGAGCTATGTTGACATTTGGATACAAGCAGAGCAATGCAGATTTCTCATTGTATGTGGATGACAGTAGTAATTGGTAATAACTTGGAGGAAATAACTCAACTCAAGGTTAGCTGAGGAGTTTGAGATCAAAGATCTTGTTTCTTTGAAGTACTTTTTCGGGATTGAATTTGATGGATCAAATAAGAGCATCTTTATTTGCAGAGAAAATACATTCTTGATCTTTTTGATGATACATGCTTGTTGGGTTGTAGAGCAGTAGATTTAACAGTTGATACTAATCATCGTCTTAGCAGTGTTGTTGGTGATCTTGTAGACAATGACATGTACTAAAGGCCTGTGGGGAGAATTAATTATATATACCCGTCACATACTCGTCCAAACATTCTATCTGAAATGGGAGTTAGTCAGTTTATTCAGGATCCTTGTTTAGTGTATCTAGATGCAATATATCACATTTGAGGTATCTCAAGTCAGCTTCTAGGAAAAGGATTTTGTTCTATAACCATGATCACTTGAGATTTTAGGCATTTACCGATGCGGATTGGGCAAGTTAAATTGATAACCCGACAACCCTAACCTTTGTAGGGAAAAATTTGGTTTACTTGGTATTGCAAGAAGTGGACAATTGTAGCTACATCAAGTGCAAAGGCATTATGTTTAGGGCTATAACTCACGGCACTTGTAAGCTTATATGCTCCAATTCTTACTAGAAAATTAGGTGTCTATGGTGGTGAGCCTGTGAAGTTATATTATGATAACAAAGCTTCTATTCAATCCAAAAAAAAAAAAAAGGCCGCTGTTATGTTGCTTATAATCCAATCCAAAATAATAGAACTAAGCACGTTGAGATTGACAGACATTTCATCAAGGAGTACCTGAAAAAAGGATTGATTTGTACGTCTTTTGTGAAATCAGAAGATCAATTGACTGATGTTTTCATTAAAGGTTGTAGTAGGATTTTCCACCCTATTATTTGCAAATTGAGTATGAGAGATATATTTACACCAATTTGAGGAGGAGGGTTAGATGTTATGTGTTTAGTAGTCAAAAGGGTTAATTGCATATTTTGGACAACTTTAACATTAATACTTGTGTTTATTAGAGGAAAGCCTAATTTTGAGGTTTCTCTCAATAGCTGTATATTGCTTCTTCTTCTGTCCTCCATTTCTCACAGTGTATGAATTTCAACTGGAGCAAAGAAATGAGATAATACTACATGGATGAAAACTGTAAATGAATTTGAGAATGAGAGATAGATATTTTGTTGTATTGTGGTAACAGTTAAGAATGGAATGAATGAGAGAAATTGATAGTTAAGTGTGTGACGTACAACAAATACAACTACAATTTCATCCCTGAATAACTTGCTCAATTCTAATGGCAAAGGTTGATTATTTCTCTCATTATGAAGGTTGTGTAACTATGCCTCGCTGGACAATAATTGTCCAGTCTGATGTAATTATTCTCATATTTGTAATTAATCTCTTACGGATTGAAAAATTAGGAAAATCGTGCACAATTTTAATAGCTTGCTGCAAAAAGGAATGGGCATTTGTATTTCTTACCATGGATTCAAAGAAGATAGAATTTCTTCATAAAGAATTCAACAAGTTGAAAATATATTCAAGAGATATTTGAAATAGTATACAGTATAATACCAATATGACGTGGCATATGAAATGTAAAAAGAATGAAGCTCCGACATTGGCACTCCATGTTTGGCTTTAACAATATATATATATTTTTTTGACAATTGGCTTTAACACTGCTTTTGTGCATATGTGTTTAATATTATCAGAAAAGAAATATCTTCATAATACCCATTTGAATGGGTTAAATTAAAGGTCCCTATTGTGAGAAACAGGCCTATAATAATAAAAATAAATTAATAATAATAACAGCACGTTTGTAGGAAGTGTAGGTACTTGGCATTTTTGTGGAACCTAGTACTCATTTGTTCTGATCATGTGTATCTTCATTTGAATCAGACAATAGCAGAGGACCCAGATGATGCTGTACAATGGCACCAACTTGGCCTTCATAGTCTTTGTACTGGACAATTCAAAACATCACAAAAGTACCTCAAGGCTGCGGTTGCCCATTTAAAGGATTGCAGCTGTGCATGGTCAAATCTTGGTAGCTATAACTCGCTTACTATTTTTTGACATATTTTCATTTTTTTGTTGGTTAAATTCTTGATATCTTTCCTTTTCTCTTGTCTTGCAACTTAGGTTCTCTTTGCTTGAATATTGCTTTATGGTTTAATGTTATCGATTTGCATCATCACTAGGTATCTCACTGCAACTATCAGTGGAGTCATCACATGCCGAAGAAGTATATAAGCGGGCTTTGTCATTGGCAACAGCTGAACAGGCGCACACAATATTTTCCAACCTTGGAAATCTCTACCGGCAGCAAAAGAAATATGAATGTGCCAGGGCAATGTTTACCAAGTCTCTTGAATTGCAGCCTGGCTATGCTCCTGCATATAACAACCTGGGCCTTGTATTTGTAGCTGAGGGTAGATGGGAGGAAGCAAAGTATTGCTTCAACAAGGCTCTCGAGGCGGATTCACTCTTGGATGCTGCCAAGTCCAACATGATTAAAGCAGTGGCCATGTGTAGAGTGGTGTAGCATCTTGCGCTCATGTCATTTCTCCAAACAAATGTTGGTGCTCATTTATCTGGATATTTGGGTTGTAAAATTAGGGTTACACCTGCTCTGGTGCCTGCTTGTTATATTATATATCATAGGGAAAAGGTGTATTACAATTGTAAAATTGTACATAAATTATTTCTATGGTAAGTCAAGAATCACATCCTTCTGTTTCTGTCTACTTACATGGTTAATCTCCACGCTCACCTGCCCAAAAGCTCCACGACAACAAATGGTTTGATTAACTTCCAATAGTTTTGACGACGGGACCAGCCATTTCTGGTTGGTTGCCTTCTTTCCCAGCTTAAGGCCTCCTGCCCAGAATATAACTCCGGCCAGCCATACTGTGGGTGGTGCATTGCAATACAACATATACTCACTCCAGTTCATCAGACAGAATGCTTAGCAAGTGATCCATCAGGAGAGAAAAGTCATGGTGAGAGAGAGAGGGAAGTGATATGCTTAGCCATTCTTTTTTGAATTTTTTCTATTCCGATTGCTCTGCAAGTGATAGCTGGTCTGGTCTGGTCTGGTCTGCCATGAATTGATCTACTCAAATTCTTAACAAAACTCATACAAAGCCATCCTAAATTATGTAAATTCATCATTATACATAGAAATATGATTAATCTTCTATTCACTTGCATTTTAACTTCAAGATTATTTCAAAATCATCAAGAACTCAACTTTTCTTTTTCATAGAACCTAATTGAATAGTTCAAAATTTCTTAAAAATTAATTATATCAAGGTTTTCAAATTCAAACCCAATTTAATGAAATCTTAAAATTATTTTCCATGATTTATGATTCTAATTTACCTTCATTTCTTTCTTCAAAACATGAAATTAAATTTCAAACTTTTCTCTTTCTTTTCAAAACCTAAAATTGAAGTTGTAAAATTTCTAAAAACATATTTGCATGTATGTTATTAAAATCATAAGTAATTATATGTTCCAAAATCAAATTATAATTAAATTCCCAATTTAATTCTTAATTTGTCCTAACTTAGATTTACCAATTTTTCTTCATGTACAACCCAAAACTTAGATTATGATCATAAAGGTTCTAAATATGTTTAAATTGAATAAAATAAAACTCTTAAATTACATTTACATGCATGAATTAAGGACCCAAAATCAAACCAATTCCTAATTTTCAACACAAAATCAAAACCTTAATTCCTTAATTTTTTTAAACCTAACTCAATTTCTTCATCTTTTTTCTAATTTCTTTCTAATTACACGAAACTAAACCCAATTATTTCTTTATTTTAATTATTAGATAATTAATCTAGAAGAATCAAGTTTGACTTTCTTACCTAAAATCTTGAATTTGATGAATTCCTCTTCAATTCTTCACTTTTCCTAGTTTTCCCTCCTTGGTTCTTCTTCAAAGTCCTTCCAGCACAAAAACAATTGATGAACCCCTCTCTCTCTCTCTCTCAATTGTTCTTCTTTGAATGACTCCAACAAAATATAATAACGAAGCTCCCTTTCTCTCTTCAGCAAACTGAATGAGTTTCTCCTTAGTCATTTTCCTAGACTTCTTGGATTCCCCAGAACAAATGAATACACCCCCTTCTCAATAACTCAAGAAAAGTCCACAACTTTCTCAATTTTTTTTTTGGGGACATCTTTTGTATTTCTTTGAGTAGGATTAGCTTAACTTATTAATTATACATTAACTTAATTAATCAAATCTTATGGTTAATTAACCATGTTTAATCTTTAATTAAATTAATCTAATTAATCACAATTAACCCTTAATTTGATTGTTCTCAATTCTTACCAATTCCATTTAATTTTTAATTAAACTCCCAAAAGGTTTTACACATCATCCCAAACCTATTAAACTTCTTATTAATTAAGTTTTCTAAATTAGATAGACATTCAATTTCTGATTCGAAACAAAATCTCTATTAATTTAATTTCTTCTATTAACTCATTAATCTTGATTCAGTTCTATTAATTATGTTTAATTCTAAATCTTCATTACCTAATTAATCTCAATTAAGTTAAATTAATCTCGTCTAATTTCCATTAATTTGATTGATAAATTTCTAAAATATTATGAACATCAAGGTAAAGTTATTAAGTTCTTCAATTAAATTTTCTAAGATGTCTAAATATTTCAATTTCAAGTTTGAAATTATCCTCTAACTCAATTTTATTTATTAAAAATTTAATACAAATGCTTTTTAAAAATTGATCCAATTTGTTTAAATCTCATAATTTTAATCGCATATGTTTCTTTTGAATTCTTTACTATTATATTTATATTCAAACATTTTATTTTAATAATTCATATTTCCATTTCTAAAATATTATATAATTATTAAATTATAGTACATGTATATATTTGTTTATATTATATCATACTTTATTTAGTGTGGCATTTATTTACTTTGACAACTTAAGAAATAATTGGTTTTTAACTTTTATCAATTGACAATGAAATTCATATGCTCAAAACTTATTATCTATATTCTTTTTCAAACATTAAGTTAACTATTTTATATTATATAAGATGACTAATTTGACTTAAGACATTCAATAATAGATTATAATATAATTTTCATAAATATTGCTTGGTTCCATCTTCCAAAAGCACTTTTTAAAAAATTTTATTTTCTTGTTTTTCGTATTTTTTTTTATTTTTACTGAATTTTTAAAATATTTTAAGTAATTTTTATTTTTATTTTTTAGACATACCTAACATAAATACACCTAAAAAATAAAAAAATTATAAAAAAAACTTTTAAAAATTCACTAAATACCAAAAATACAAAAAAAATACAAGAATTCGGTACTTTTTTTTATATTTTTATGTATTTATTAATTTTTTAAAATATTTTTTTACAAATTTTTTACTTTTTAAATACATCTAAGTAAGGTGTATCTAAAAAAATAAAAAAAAATATTTAAAATTTTAAAAATATTCACTAAAAATAAAAAAAAAATACAAAAATCAAAAAATTCAATTTTTAAAAAAACTTAATTCAAAAAACTCAAATCATACACACTTGTTACTTCGGCTATTATACTGACATTCGCATCCTCGGACAGTCGTATTCCTTCTTTTGCACAGCCTATCACTCAAAGGTACGTATATACAACCCCATATATATACATGTACGTGAAAGCTCTGTTCAGATTGTTGTTCTTAGATGTTTCTATCTTGTTAGATCTCTCCACTCGCAACTGCTAGAATTCAAACCCGTAGTAATGGTTAGGTTTATAGTAACATGGGCTTGTTTTTGCTAGCAAATGTGTAAGGGTAGGAGGGAAATTCTGGGTAGCCTTTAACATTTGCTTTGCTGAAATACTAAAAAGCTATATTTATTGTATATATATATATATATATTTTTTTTTTTCCTTCATTGAGTGTTTGATCTTTCTGTTAATTTCAATTCTTGACCCTCAATCAAAAAAATCTTTCAAATCATTTTTATTGTATTATCTTTTTTTTTTTTTTTTTTTTTTTTTTTTTTTTTTGGGTGCGCTTCGCTAAAAGTTGTCGCTGAGCCTTTTCATTTATTTATTTATTTTTCGTGCCACGTTTTCTTTCCTAAGATTTTATAATGATGTGGTAACAGTTGTAGGGGTTGGGTTGAAAGTAAGGATAATAACTCAAAAACCTGTAGATTAGTAGATGAAAGCACACGCTTTACTAAAGCCACATTTGAAAATCAAACCAAAGATTGTTTGTTTAATAATTTTACCTTTTCATTATAGTATATTGTTAACTGCAATTCTCTTAATCCTGGTTATTCTGATATTGATGCAATTTTTATAATGCTATGTTGACCACTTAGCTACGTAATCATCAAATCATTGGTAATGGCACAGAACAATGTTGTTGATGAGTTGGACAATGGTGGTTGGAAGTCGAAAGTGGGGTGCCATTTGGTTTTGAACAAGCTACATACGAATTTTATAATACTTATGCAGAAAAGGTGGCTTTCAGTATTGGAAAGTCCTATACCAACACAGACCGACCAAGGAAGTAACTTCAAGAAACTGTGTGTTACAAGGAGGGATGTTGGGGTGTTTGACAAGAGAGATCCATTAGTCAAAAGCCTAGACAAGAGGTAAGAAATGGTTGTGGAGCTCGACTTTTGTGACAATTCCGTTCTGTGATATACTCTTAATCTTTAATTATCTTTGCAATTGTGTACTTAATGTGATTTTGGATGCTAATCATGTGATTATATGTGTCTTGGAATTTCTTTCTGTCCATTGTAGAGATATCTGTTCTATATTCTGCCATAATATGAAATTGAGGGATGTAGAGGCGGTAGAAACCAAAATTGACTGTACTATTGTGATTAGGATAATTTTTAGAGTGAAATTTAATTAAAAATTGATTCGGATCAAATTAATTAGATTTAATTGATTAGAACTAAGTGGAGATGATTAGCCCTAATTAAACTTAATTAAAGTAAGCTAAGTACCTTATATATATAGAGTGTCAAACACACTTTGAGCTCATCAAACGTTCCAAAACTTGCTGAGATAGCATATATATATATATATAGAGAGAGAGAGAGAGAGAGAGAGAGAGGTGAGAATTCAAGGGAGACAGGAGGAAAACTTAAGAATTGGCTCAAGGAAATTGAAGATTTGTGAAGAACAACTCTAAGCTCTTGCTAAGTGAGCTATATTGAGTCACTTAATTGTTTGCACCATAATTTACGAATTTGAGTCACTTAATTGTAGATTGAAGGTGAACATGTAATTAAGTGTATGAATTGAGCTAAGATTGTAAGAATGGAGAATCAGAGTGTCTCAAATAGAGCATTTTATGACCATTAAAAAAGTACAGATTAACTTATGCTTAAACAATATTCTGACATGTTGACTATTTAATATTTTACATCATACCACATGGCAACAGAGAAACGATAGAAAATCTTTTTTGTGTACAAGAAAGATAAAGGCACTAAGGTTATGAAACATGAATGATGCTAGGATGAATAGCTGCAGAGTTCTGTAAAGTGTATATTTATCTTTGTTTTTGTTATTCACATAAGGCGTTGAATATATCTCAGTTCTAGTTAAGGGCAGAAGAATCCAGATTGTGGTAAGTAAGCTCTGATTGGTTAGCTACTCAAATCACAATAATATCACAAATAAAGCCCCGTAAAGAAGTAAAACAGAATTTTATTGATTTTGAAGTTTT